AGGAATGTAATCTTACCAGGTTCAACCGCCAAAAAAAAAAGCTACTCACTTGGTTTCATAGCACATGCGGTTGATGTGAGATTCCCTACATGACGTTAGTGTACTATGCTACCACAAGAAACGTTTTGAGTACCAAAGGTCGTGTAGGATTTGTAGTAATTGTAGTATCAACCGTAGGAGTCTCTAGAAAGTACCATCCTACAGCAAAGATGTTTGTAGGACTTCTCGTTAAAATGCTGCAGTGAACTAGTATTGCTTTGTTGCAGGGCTATTGTTCCATCGCACGCCGGATAGACAAAATCCTGCTTGGCCCTGGATTCCTGGACCGTAATTATGGGAATCATGATGCCCTAAACCCTAAACCCTCAACCTTATAGGAATAATAGTGACGTAGTATATGGAAAGATCCCGAACCCTAGGAATTCTGGTGATGTAGCTATCGAAGCAGCAAGGCTCCACGAAACTGCTGCAGTGACTCCCGCGCTTTCCATTAATCCACGTACCCGCTGCCGACAAGCCTTGCATTGGATTGATAATATCAGCTTTTGTCTAAACTCCTAGTATCCCCCTTAATGGGAACCCTATATAGTCCTGCCCCCTTTAGGGAGTTTAGATTACGGCTCATATGTGGTAGTTTCCTTCAATAGGGGGACCTCGGCATACACTCCCAAAGTACTATAACCCTTATCTCAGGGACCCTGAAGAGGTAATTGCCCCTAATTCGAGAAATCCCCCATATATACATACATACATGTTAATGTATATCATAGCATATGTGTATGTGTGTATATATGTAGTATATGCAAGCATGCATATTCAATGTACATATATGTATATGGAGAATGAGTCTATATGTGTATATATATGAATATATATATATATATATATGTTTTGCTGAAGGAAGTTTCTGAGGCAGTTCTTGAAACTCACCATGCGAGTGGCGCGCTTGAACGGGATCTTGCAGATGTTATGAAGGAGCAGGACCCAGAAGCAACACAGGTCATGCGCTAGGGGTCCATGCGCCCGATAATTGCCTATTTGGGATTTTGATATGAGTAATTGTAGTTCAGGATTTTGGGCAAATACCTAATGGCGGGGTTCTTCGGGAAGTGCACTCCGGACAACATTTGTCGTTCGAACGGTCTCGGGATCCAACGTACAGGTATGATGCTGAGGTTCAGTGAATATGAGTATGTACCATGCTACTTATTCTAGGTACCCCAGTGGTAACCTTTTTCCCTTTTTCAGAACGCGTCGGAATACGGGCCCACGTTTTTGGACTTCATAAAAGAGCCACAAATCGTAGCTACTGTGGCACATACTGTAAATCTTATTATCTCCTTGGCTTTAAACTCCGTAGTATATTTTGTCCATGCTAGTATCTTGTGGGCTGTGGAGTACGAGGATATCGGGCAAAGAGGCTAGGAAGGCTATAGAACTTGAAAAGGCAATTTGAGTAGGGGAGGGGGAGGGGGTGGCAAACAAAAATCACATTGTTTTTTGATTACATGGGCGTGCATTTTTGACCGCACAGTCATATCTAGCCATTCGAGCATTTTTATACCCCGTATATGAACTCATAGGTTTCCGAGAACCTTTAAGTAGATGAGAATACCGTGCATGTTCCTGCTTTTATGTCGTTATTCATGAACTGCAAAAGCTTCCCCGTCTCAGTGTGGTATAGAAACGTTAAATTTCATCAACTAACTCTACCCTAGTGTGCTCCAAATGTAAAATTGTATGCGTTGGGGTCCGGCTCAGGTACGGGCCTCAGCGCTGGCATCTGGTCCACGCGGGCTGCAAAGCCCATAACTATATCAACATGTAATATAAATAGTACCTTTACATAGAATTCATGAAATGTACCGTCCCCAATCCCCAATAATGAGAGAGGGCGGGTCTAGCTGGGCATGAACTCTCACGGGGCTTCATAATGCATTTAATTAAATTCTTTCCTGGGGGCTGCGAGTGGACAACTGGGGTTACTTGTGTGGAAGGACGAACGCTCTCAGACCACACGCACTTCCATCCCTTCTTTCAGACGCTGAAGCTATGCCTCGTTCCAATGTGCCGGATGCGGCCGCTGGGGCAGAGATAGATGTGCATGTGCAAAGAAGCCGGGCACAAGCAAAGTCTCGCCGAAGACCAACAAGAAAGCAGCGCCCGATCGGGCAGTGCATGTTGCTACGCCAACTCCAGCCAGCAGTTCTGATGCTCGCCAACTAGAGCTATAGAGATTCAACAAGCCAAGTTAGCTGCGGCTCTGGCGGAAAACCGACAGCACATTCTCAAAAAGGAGGCCCGAGCTGCCAAGCGTGAAAGAGGTTGGCAAGGGCAGCGATGGAAAGGGCATGGAAGCAGTGCTTGACAAAGCCTTATTTGGCAGTCTTGCCAGCGCTACCCTAAACTGTGGCGTGTTCCTGGACCGCATGGAGTTCAGGAAGTTGGCGGAGTTGGCGTCGAACAAGGCCAACATCCGGATACAAGAAATGGAGAAACACGGCCATTTCGTCGCGGATGTCTGGAAGCGCTTTTTGGTCGACTGCTGTGTGAACTACGGCTTCACCTCAAAGCGCTGCTTCGGGTCTGTGCTGAAAGTCCAAGAGCTCAATTTCGAGAACATTCCCGTAGTCTTGTGAACAACTTTGGCGCAGGGTCGTCTGCTTCATCATGGGCAAGTACTCGACCAAGGACAAGGAGGTAGACCACACAGCAGGTGTTTTTCGCTACATTCCTCAGGATGAACTCGTGGCTTTCTTGTCCCATCCCGTCACAGCGGCCATTTATCTCAGCGACTGGTGCATCCCTTTAATTCGGGAGAACTCTATCGAGGAGTGCCTCAACATGATCAACGACCTGCCGCCTGTGCATCCAGATGTGGAGAGAGACACTCAATGGCTGTCTCTGTGTCTTTCCGGCAGTTCGGCGCCCCCGCCGGGTGGCGTCGTGGATCTGGTCACCGAGTCCAACCGTCGTGTGGTGGAGGTGCATGGGAGCACGCCTTGGAAACGTGTGCTCAAAGAATATCTCACACAAAAGGTGGATGCCTGGCCAAGGCATGCCACGTCATCAAAGGGAAAGCGCACGAAGGAAGAGGGCGTCGGAATATTAGAAGACCACTAAAACCGGGTTAGGAAAAAGGGTACATGCATTATTAAGGATCACTGAGGTTCTTACCCTAAACCCTAAACCATAAACCACTAAACCCGTAAACCCTGAAACTAAAGCATCTCGCTGGTTGCCTGCTTCGAATGTTAAGCACTTGAAAGCCCAAGAGGAAGAATGCTTTCAACTTACTTGTTCTTAGCAGGGAATAAAGGGGTACATTCTATAAGGGCTATACAGAAATTATACGGAGATGATGCAGGGTTTCTACAGAGATTATATAGGGATTCTTTCCCAAATTCCCTACCAAGAACCAGTAATTAAGTCCAAGGCCCAAGGCCATCGAAGAATCTAAGCAAAGCATGAGTAGCATTTGTTCTCAGATATTACATTTCCTAGTATGGAGTAAGGTCATATACTCCTCTCGAGTCTAGTAACCTGTACACGGCGCATATAATCGTATTTGCACAACTTTGCAACCACCAACCAACGAAACACTCCTCAAATGTCGGTAGATGCGGGAATTGCGGACCGATGCTGAGTGCTTCTCTTCGGAGCACCTGGCGCATGCACGTTAAGAAGAACAAAAGGGAGTTTCCCAAGACCCCGAACCATGCTTTCAAATTACTATCCAAGTTACTCCCGTATAGCCCTTATACATTAGAAGGATCCCCACCTTGCAATGATCTGCAATGGTGGTACACCAGGAGTTTAATAGGACCCGTGCATAAACCTTATTGTCCTTTATAGCCCCTACTGCAGGGTGGGGGTCCACCTAACTTATACAATCAGAGTTTCAGACATACGTCCTCTGTCCGGGGCTATGAGCATTCAGTTGAGCAGCCAACCAATGGACCACAACAATACAAGTTGGGCTCAGTCTACATGCGCTTGCACTGAAAAGGCCTTCAGGTCCTAGTCAAACTCATACTCTATGTGTTTGGAGCGTTTCACTCAGCTGTGGTGTGTTAGACGGGATGTCATGTGCGTTAGCTGAGGTGTAGTAGCAAGCCTCTTGATCATCCAGCCTGTTAGCAGCATTCGAAGTACTGCAGGCAATCATGGTTCAAGTGCGCCTAGACAGTTTTGATCTGTCCTTTTTTGAGGACGTAGCTTTGTATCTGAAATGTTAGACGACGTAAACTTAGCGACCCTAAAAAGGGGGTAGGGTGTAAGGGTCTAGGCAGAGTTTACGAAGCAGATAAGCAGACTCCAAGCGCACAAAAATCCTGGGCGGAAGCTCTGGCTCCCGGACCCTAACTAAAGCCTGAACCCTAGACCTCTAACCCTTGACCCCCGGTGTTAATCTGATGAATATACAAGGCAGCATGCAAAATAGCTTCAGGATTTTGTGTTTGGGGTTATGACTTTTCCCCTTTCCTTACAGTACATTGTGTAGGGTTTTGGGTTATAGTCCCCCATAAATAGATCCCAAATGGCTTGGGTATATTATAATAAGCCATATACACCCCTTTTCCCTTTTCAGTCATTGTCAGATTGCAGCATTGTGCCTTCCAGCGTCGCATGGGGGCATGTCTGCGCCGGCCTCATAAAGGTTTATGGCTTAGGGCTGACGATCCTAAATCCTAAACCCGAACTCCACTAAGTTGCTGTTAAGGAAGTTAAGCTTAGTTACTTTGACATGGGTACATAGTAGATAGTAGGGCTTCCTAATTTATAGTAGATTAGTTTAAGTTCCTCATGTTGAACCCCATATACCTTGCTATAAGATACCTAACTTAATGCCTGGTATCTTCTACATACAAAATTAGGTACCCTAAAACGGGGGGAGGTATAATTCGAGGTCATTATATAACCCCCTTAAATAGTTTAGACTATAGTTCATGTGAGGTCATAGGATCCTAATTTTGAGGGCTTGGGCGACACAAACCATTTCAGAGATACTGTAGACCCCTGATAAATACACCCTCCCCCTCGTAATAGGGATTATAATAGGGATGCATATTTTGAGGCCCTTAACAGGAGGGGAGTTATAGATTAGGGGTCTATATTAGTGCGACGGGCAAAACCAAACGCCTCCCACTGCCCTGAATTTTCACTAAGCACCGCTCCTTGCATGGGCTCCTTCTTTTGGACCAGAAAGAATGTTGCTCAGCAAGTCCAGCAGAGAACTTCGTAAGCTCGTCGGGGTCAGAAGGTGCCACATCCCTAACATTGTTTTTGAAAGCTCAGTCTTCGACTGCCGTTGGCAATTTGTTCATTGGCAGGTAATTCTTCAGCCATCCATAGCAACTCTGAGAAAAAAACGGGCCGCAAACAATAGGATCTCGGTCATAGGCACCCCAAGAAGAGACCTGGGATTTTGGGGAAGAAGGTTTCTTGCGACAAGACCCCAAACCCTAAACATGAATGCAATTGCTTTCACAGCCCTATCTCTGCATGTATTGTCCAAAATACAGGCGAATCAATCGGAAAAGAAAGTGGAATTAGGTAGGTGCTCATAAAACTTAGGGTTACTAGAGATTTGGTGTATTTTTTTACCTGATGATTGAAGGTGCAAGCGCTCAGAGTCCACCCAACCCAAAAGCCTCAAACCCTAAACGCTTAAACCCTAACCTCAAAGACCCTAAATCCCAAACATGGAAACCCTGAACCTTAAATCCTAAACCCTGAACCCCTAAAAATCTGGAGCCCAAACCCTACAACCATCAACCCCTCAACCCACGGCGCCCCACGTTTATGCTCGGGCCTTGGAAGTCGCATCTAAAGTCCCAAAGATGGAAAGCACAACAGTCACCTTGGTCCTGTTTTTAGCACGGACCTGGGGTTTAGGGTTTAGGCAGAGAGTAAAATGGGAACCCCTAACAAGGAACCCCAAGAATGCAGTAAGAAAATAGGAATACGCCTACTAGGGTCCTTATACTTCTGTTATTCCCTGTTTGGAGTTCCCATTTTTCCCTTAAGGTGGACGCCACCCAGGAATCCGGAAGAACAAGACATCTTAGAAACGAACGTCTGAATCTTTCCCTGAAGCACCAAAAAAACCCAGTGCAGGCAAAGTTCAGAGACATTAGGACCGGATTTAGGCCCTAAACCCTAAACCTTGAGGTATTTCGTACCCTAAACCCTAAACCCTAAACCCCTAAACCCCTAAACCCCTAAACCACGACTTAGAAGTCCAGGGCTTGCAGATCCCCAAACTTAATCGCCCTCCCCTTGCTTGAATCGAGGCCAAGGGTTCTGAACTATACCTACGGGTTTAGGGTTTAGGGTTTTAGGGTCTAGGGTTTAGGGTTTTAGGGTTTTAGGGTTTTAGGGTTTAGGGAATACAGCAGGGTTTATGGTTAAGGGTTCAGGGACATGGGTCCTAGTTAATTAGGGAATCTGTTAGGGACTACACTGAACTACCAGAGAAGGCTCCTGTGTCCACACTCAGCGGTACTTTAGTAAGCCGAATACAGGCACTAGCTCACCTATTCCTCAATATCCCACTTTGGGTCTTTTCCTCGCACAGTAACCGTCGAAATTGTGTTATTTAGGGTCTACTATGGTTCCTTTTCTATCTGTGGACCATGTTACTGCAAGGGGAGGGGACTAAATAGGGGACTATTATAGAGGTTATTAAGGGGGATATCAGGAGTTTAAACTATGGCGCACATGCCTTTCATAGGCTTCCCATCTTGGAATTGCCAACATCCTCTTATTTTACAATACAACCCTACTAAATCCCTAAATCAGCCCAGTTTTCATATCACTTTTAATGTTATGTCCCTTTTGATTTTCCATGATTGATGCTAATACCGCCAACGCTACATAATCCCATACCGTTCCTGTAAATCCCATCCAGAACACCTATAATCCCTCTTCAATATAACCCCCCACACGACCCCTAAACGCTAAACCCTAGATCCTAAAAAATACAAACCCTACACAACACCCATGTAACCTAAAACCCCAAACCCTGTATCCTTCCTGAGGCTGTTACCTGGTTTGCAGCCATATCTGCGCAAGCCTCGGCATGGGGCAGCGGTTTAGGGCTTATAGGGTTTAGGGTGTAGCTTTTCGGGTTTAGTGAATTAATGTGGCAGTCCGAAAGGGTCCATGTACGTATAAGGTTTAGCGTCAGTGTATACCTAAACATGATTGCGTTTGGTCCCAAGTGCATATCATCCAGCATTGTGCAGCTATATGGTCTGTTTGTGTGTTCTGCTTGTGGGTATCGGATCCATGGCAGGCTGTGATTTCTAAGGTTTATGCAAAGCCCGAATTGAAACAGCAACCAGAACTGTTAGCGTATTCCAAAATCGAAAGGAGCCAGCCAGGCAAAACTTCGTGCAAAGCACTGAAGAGCCTAGACCCTAAACCCAAACCCTGAACACAAACTTCTCTACGGGAAGTCTCTCACAGTTCGGCGCTCAGCAAGACCTCCGAAGCCAATCAACCACAAGTATACAAGCAAATTCCGCGGGACTGACCTACACCTTGTTTACTGTGCACCCTCATACTACATAGACACATTTCGTGTTTGTGGTTTAGGGCAACTGAGGAATCTCACTTTGTGAGCCAACGCTGCATTTGAGTGGATCTTGGGCGCCTTACCTGCTTTGAATACACCCGCCAAAAGATGAATTCAGGGTTTAGGGTCTAGGGTTTAGGGCTCAGGGATAACCCTTTCAGGTTCACAGTGCTGTTGCGCGAGCCTTTCATCTTACGCTTCAAGCGCAGGTTCCAAATGACCTGGTAGAAGTTCGAGAGATGGTCTCCTAAATCAGCCGCGTCGTAATTGCAATAGCAGTAACAGTAGTAACAATAGTAACAGTTGTAGCAAAAGTAATGATAGTAATAACCGTACCAGTCGTACAAATGGTAACGCTGGTATGAGTACTGTGTAAAAAAAGGATAGCATTTTGAGCGCAAACTCCGCTGCGACCAAGGGCGTCATTGCAGCAGCGCTGCTGCTTACCTACTATGCTGGGGTCCCAGCAGAGACCGAGGAAACCCCAAGGCTTTAGAGTTTAGAGTTGTAGGTGTTTAGGGTTTAGGGGTTTAAGGTTAGT